CCACTTACCATTCACCAATCTCTCTGCCATTTCCAAATTCTTGTTGAAAAGGTTGTAGGCTTTCACTTTCACGCAGTTGTTGATGTGCCATGTGCACAACAAGTGCTTCGATTGTGGAAATAGCTCTGCTATGGGGGCAAGGTGACCTCCCTCACAATCACTGACGATGGCTGATGGCTGAACATTAGGGCCGATGTAGTTTCTCAGCTTCTCCAAGACCCAATAATAACTCGCAACCATCTCATCCTTGATGACTGCATGACCAATCAGAAAGTTTTGGTTCGTTGGAGTCATCCCAATCATCTCAACCAGTGGGAACTTGTACTAGTTTGTCTTGTACGTTGAATCGATCAAAATCACAGATGGCCAAGACTTGATCATATCAGCACAATCAGGATGCACAAGGAATAGATGAGTCACCTCTGCTGTATCTTCATCATAATCATACCAGAACAGGTAACCACGTGTTTGTGCCTGGTGTAGAAGCTGCTGTATAGGGTTCCTTCCCCTGACCGTTCAAACCTCAGTTGTTGTCTGACGTTGTAGATGTGTCTTCGGTTTGGCTGGTCGTCAGGAAATTTCTCTAGCACAGATGCTAATATTTTAGCAGGCTTCACTTGAGCATCACTCATTTCTTTGACAACCAGTTTTGCAGCAGGACTTAAGCCGCTCAACTGTCGATGACCCACTTCATATACTATCATCTCATGGTTGTGATACCCCCATTTGGAGTAACCCTTTACTTCCCAACCTTCACGACTCTCTAGTTGCCGAACCTTTACTCTGAACTCACACCCACAACCTTTCCGCTTTGTATCAAACCGAGTGGCTGTACTGAAATCTCTTTCTTCTCTTTTGCGATAACGGTCGCATCTCAAAATGCGATCCATTCTACCATCCTGTTGAGATTTATGACTTGTTACTACCAAGCAAAAACCAGAAGTAATTGCAACCTGTTTAGCCCAATCAATCGCTTGTTGAGCATCTTCGAAGGGACCATCATGTACAAATATCCCACTGTAATCATTTTCGTCTCCACCATAATCCTACATCAATTAGATATTATATTTAAATACATATAATTATGTAAAGCGTAAATTAATACATTTAACACAACAATAACACATAATTAATATCTACATTTTTAATTTGTAAATTTCATTTCAATATTTAACGCATAATACATCTAATTTATATATTTACACATAATTAACACAAAATTAAAAACATAATTATGTATAACAGTATTCATACACATACAAAATTAAAACACAATCATTTATAAAAGTATTCATACACATACAAAATTAAAACATAATTATGTGTAAAAGTATTCATACACATACAAAATTAATACATAATTAATTTTTTTGTAAATTATTAACACACTAATTTCCACATACAAAATTATAAAATAAATTTATTAACAAATATATAAAACATAATTTCAAGTTATACATTTTTTTTTACAATTTAAATTTATCAAATTTATAAACAAAAAAAAAACAAAAAAATTAAAAATCTAATTTCCACATACAAAATTATAAAATAAATTTATTAACAAATATTTAAAACATAATTTCAAATAAAACATTTTTTTTTTTTACAATTTCAATTTATCAAATTTATAAACAAAAAAAAAAATTAAAAAAAAAATCACATAGGCAGTGGCGCCTGGCTGGACCACCACCACCATGGTAGTGGCGCCTGGCCAGGACGCCAGCACGGTGGGAGTGGCGCCTGGCCAGGACGCCGGCACCGTGGGAGTGGCGCCTAGCCTGGAAGCCACCACCACGGTTCCGACGTCCTGGCCAGGCGCCCCTCCCACGATGCCGGCGTCCTAGCCAGACGCCACCGCCATGGCACCGGCTTCTTGGCCAGGCGCCCCGACCATGACAGTGGTGGTCCATGCTCACGTCAGCCGTCATACCGTTACAACGACGATGTTTTGCTGCGACGACGACGGCTCTTCGGCGTCCCTCGGCTCTCCGGTCTCCCGCGGGAACCCAATACGGCTCCACATTTTTCGATGTCAGAATTTTTCGTTTTTGGTAAGATTTCACAAATGGGCAAAAGTGTCAAACCAAGTGTCTTTTTTAATTTGATTTTTGGATGTCAGAATTTTTCGTTTTTGGGAATATTTCACAAATGGGCAAAAGTGTCAAACCAAGTGTCGTTTTTAATTTGATTTTTTGATGTCAGAATTTTTCGTTTTTGGTAAGATTTCACAAATGGGCAAAAGTGTCAAACCAAGTGCATTTTGTGGGCTTTATGTAGTAATTTGTGGGCGATGTTTAACAAATCCCTTAAAATTCTCGTGGCAATGTAATGTAGCCATGGGAATTTTGAAAAGTATTCCCGTGACACAAGAGGCCGTGGCTAGGAAATTTGCCATGGGAAAATGGATGTCGTGGCAAATTTCAATTTTTATGCCACGGGTATGTACGTGGCAGACAATTTCACTTGCCACGGATACTAATGTGGCTAACAAGTTCTTTGCCACAAATTCTACCATGGCTAATAAACTTGGTTGCCACAAACATTATCGTGGCTAGTAATCTTCTTTGCCACAAATATTACCGTGGCTAATAAACTTTGTCACCGCAAATATTACCGTAGCTAATTAATTTCTTTGCCACAAATAATACCGTGGCAAATAAATCCATTGCCACATTACTACCGTGACAAATAATATCTCTTGACACTAATGACTAGTGTGGCTACTAAATTCAATAGGCATAAGCTTTGTTGTAGCATTTATGGTATACGCATATATGAATATTAGAGATGGGAGTTTTTCTCAAATATGTCATATTTTCATTGTTGCAATAGATATATAACATTAAAAAAAAAATCATATTAATGTCTTGGAATCCCGTACATTCAAACATACTTGAATTCGATATCCATACATACAAACATACTAGAAATCAATTGTCTCATTATCTCATCACTAGCCCACTCTTACTAAAAGTTTTTATAAAAAAAACACTCAAATCATTTTGCTAAAGAACAATAAATACTCTACATATAGCATGCGACAATATGTCTGTGCTCCGCTCCTTGTTACCTACAATAAATAAATATAAATAGATAAATAATCAAGTCAATATGTTTTCAAAAAGAGCACCAAATATATATATATATATATATATGTTTTCAAAATGAAAAAGTCAAATTGACACAAAATTTGGAACAACTTACGTTAAGCTCATAAATTATAACTTTCAAATCTTATTAATGCCTCCCTTCACTGCACTGACCCTGTCCATGCACAGCCCACCTCCTGCACAGCCCCTAACCCCTCCCTGCACCACCCCTCTTACTGCACTACCTGCACTGCCACCTTCCTACACTACACGGCCTACCCTTCCTGCATTTTCTCATCCCTGCACCCCGCCCCGTGCACTAAAACTTATCCCTACACTGCCCCTCCCTGCACCACCCCCCTGAACTGTAATTCTCCCTACGTTGCCCCCCTACATTGTCTCCCCTTCCTACACTGCCCCTCTCCCCTGAACCTGCGTATACTAAATTCCACATATACTTGTTTATCACAATGCAGAGAGAAGTACAGTGCTAAGATTGGTGATAATCAATTAGGACCGAACAGTTTACAACTAAAAAAATATAAATAATGATTTTATGAATTTACAATTAGGATTGAAAGCAGATTTATATCTTTTTTCAAGTTATAAATCTTCCATTTATCACAATGCTAAGATTTGTGAGAATCAATTAGGACTTAGGATAGCTTAATTGCTTGTTATGTCCAGTGCTTTGTATTTGTTTATTTTTTAGTTTTTTTTTTCAAGTTATGTATTTTGGTAAAGCAAGTTCTCTATAAGCAAGTTATGAATTTTGCCGATTTGATTAAAAAAAAAAAAAAAAGTAAGAGTGGGCAAACAATTCTTTACTCATTTGTCAAATTAGCAAACATTTCATTGTTTATTTACCAAATGAGCAAAACAATTCTTTACTCATTTGTCAAATGAGCAAACATTTCATTGTTTATTTATCAAATGAGCAAACAATTCTTTGTTCATGTATTAAATGAGCAACAATTCCTTGCTCATTTATCAAATGACAAACAATTTTTTGCTCATATATCAAATGAGCTAACAATTCTTTGCTTATTTTTTAAATGAGCAACAATATTTTGCTCATTTATCAATTGAGCAACATAAGGTGAAAAAATTTAGAACATAGAAAAATAATTTAAAACATATATTTAGAGCTTAGGTAGAAAATTTTAGAGCATAAGCAAAAAATTGTAGAACAGTTGCAATAGATTTTGGAACATATTCAGTAAATTTTAGAACATATGCAAAAAATATTTATAACATATGATAAAACCTATTAGCTCAATTGGTAGAGCACTATGCAAATGCATAGGATGTAGGTTCAATTCCTACATAGGTTATAATTATAAATAACTAAAAAAAATTAATTAAAAAATATATAAAATCAAATTAGCACTAAATTATATGAGCAAAAAATTGGCTTGAAATGATTAATAACTATGGAAACTTTGTTACAACTAAACTCTCATATAAACGCTTGTCTCCTATTACACAAATGAACCTACGTGGGATTTGAACCCACATCTTTTGTGCATTTGCATAATGCTCTACATGTTGAGCTAGTAGATTAATGCAAACTAAATTCAAATGAGCAAAGTAAAATTAAAATGAGCAAACTAAACTGAAACTAAAATGAGCAAACTGAAATAAAATGAGCAAAAACATATATAGTTAAAATGCATAAATGAAAATCAAATGAGAAAAGGCAGGAGAATCTTAGAGAGAGGAGGTAATTAGTGCTACGGGAAGAAGAAAAATTAGCAACAATTTTTTGCTCATTTATCAAATGAGCAAACAATTCTTTACTCATTTGTCAAATGAGCAAACATTTCTTTGTTCATTTATCAAATGAGCAAACAATTCTTTGCTCATGTATCAAATGAGCAACAATTCTTTGCTCATTTATCAAATGAGCAAACAACTTTTTGCTCATTTATCAACTGAGCAAACAATTTTTTGCTCATTTATCAAATGAGCAAACAATTCTTTGCTCAGTTGATAAATGAGTAAACAATTCTCAGCTAGTACAAAGTTCATTGCCTCAATGGGGGCTTCCTCAATCCATACACGTAGGCTGTCATAGTTTTTACTGAGGTTGGCAAGACAATGAGCCACCTTATTGCCATTTCTACCTACATGACTAAAGACAACATCGATCAATACAATTTTTAGCTAGCTCAAGAATATCTTTGATTATAAAACCAAAACTTGTATTCTCATGTATGTTGTTCTTCAGATGTCTGCACACTTTGATGTTGTTTGTTTCTAACACAATTTTTGTAAGACTCGCTTCAATAGCAATTTGAAGGGCATGTTTTGCAGTGAGAGCTTCAGCAATAGTGTAGCAACATTCTTGCCTCCCCTTACTCGCAGGACAGTAGTAGCCACAATGTCCTCCTAGGATAGTAGCAGCCATAATGTCCTCCTCATAATTCCTGATTATGCCCCCAAAACCAATATGACCATCATTAGACATTGCAACATCCGAGTTTACCTTATACCAACCCGCCTCAAGCTTCTCCCATTTCTGCACAACAGTAGCAGCACCCAGATTAACAGTTGATGTAGCTTCATTGGCTTTCTCATACTCTCCAATTATGCTCATAGTGTTTTGTTGAATCTCAGCTAGATCAACCATCTTCCCTTCAAAAACCCAGGCATTTCTTCGCAACCAAATACCCCAAAGCAGACTCCAGAACATGCTCCACCATTCAATATTAGTATGCACCATCTCTAGCTCTAAGAACCACTCAAAAAAAGATCCAACCTTAAAAGTGCTAAGGTTAAGTCTTAGTGGAGAAGTATACCAAACGCTGCCTTGTTACATAATGCAAGAGTATGAAGAGTTGTCTCACACTCTTCACCACACATTGGACACAAAATATCAACCGTCATTCCCCTCCCAACCATAGTGATGGTAGTAGGCCAAAAAATGGAGACCAGGGCAAATATACAAGTACCAAGGGCATTTCATAAATTTACAAAGAATTTTTGCTCAAAATATATGTTTTGAATTATTTTTCTATGTTCAATCTATAAAATGAGCAAAAATATTTTTGTTCATCTATGAAACGATTAAAAATATTTTGCTCAATTACGAAATGAGCAAAATATGTAATGAGGAACATTGTTTTGCTCTTTAGCATCAATCGGCTAAAATGAGCAATATTTGTTTACTCATTTTAAGAAAAGGGTAATAATAAGGCAAAGTTAGACAATTAGAACAAAGCAACAATTGAAAATTCATAACATAAAGTATGTACCATTTGGTCAGAATTGGAAGAATAGTACTCTGCAATACTTGAAGTGTTTGAAATCGTGACTTTGGAATTACTCATGATAGTTGATAAATTTTTGCTAAACTCTAATTTCGATTAAATTGATTGGCAGTTTCAATAACAAATATCGAGGTGCTGATACAATCATTGTTAATTACTAGTGTGGGTGGTATTGTAGAGAGCGAGGACCAAGGAGTATGATTTACACAGCAATGTAATGGTAACATTTTACTACCACGTACAAATCTTATCTACTGTTATTGTTATTGCTGCTCTTGATATGTTCAGTATCAATCATGTTTTATATGGTCTGGTTCATGTTCTATGCTCTTATTTTAAACAAGTCTTATCAAATCTTGTTAAGGATCTTCAACTTCCATAATATCTCATAATTAGCAATCTCATCAATATATTTCTCGAGTTAATTCATCATATATAACAAAACGACACTCTAAACTTAATACCCCTAACATAAAAACCAGCAAACGAAAGCAATTTCTGATGCCAAAAGAAGCAAGTCATTAAGTAAAGACATACAAATCAGTAATCCTTAGCTTAACCTCAATCAAAATCGATTTTCAATTTCGTACAATTGTATATCAAAGCCACTTCGAAAAATTTCCAAATAAAATTGGTGAAAATGTGAAAACTGTTATTGTCATGCCTCCTGAAAAATAAATGACTCCAAAATACAAATTTCATTCATCATTTCGGTCTATTGATCATAGCAAACAAATTAAAAATCAATAAATAAGCAAAATAATAGGTAAAAACGCAACAAATTAAAAATCAATAAATTGATACTTACTTTCTTCGTTCATAAATAACAGCTTTTGATTTTGGTTCATCGTTCACATGTTCGACTGAATCCATTTGCAATTGGCGATTTCTAGGGTTTAAGCATAAAAATCGCGAAAACCTAATTCGTGAATAATGTAAGTTTATATCGAATTTCAGCAAATTAGGTAAAATAATCGAATTTTGAAAACAAATTAGATCATAATATTGATAAACTTACTACAAATTGGTATAGAATTTCCACAAAAACCACTGATCTGAGGAGAGAGAGAGCAGCAACAAGTATAGAGAGAGAAAGAGATGTTGAACGTGAAAGCTAATTAAGAAGAATAGGAAAGAGAGAAGGGGGTGTATCAGATTCACAAAATTACAGAAATGTCATTATTATGTTCTTTTTGGACGGTTAGATTTAATTTGTCAATGGTCTAAATTTGTTCTCACATATATTAGAGTTCTCACGTAAGGAATGAGATCTCACACCAAAAATGGTATTTAGTTGTATATATAATAAACTAATTAAAGATAGTTAAAGTGGAGTATATAGGAATTGCAAAAGGTAAATAGGATACAACTAAAAAAAAATGTATAAAATAGTCAAAGTGAAGTATATAGAAACTGCAAAAGGTGATGTTTTTTTTTTTTTTTTTTCGAAAGAACAATTGATGATGTATTTGTATCCTTAGGACATGGCCATACCCAACTTCTTATAATTTAATCCTTGTTTTATCACATACGTAGTAATTATCATTTATTTCAGAAATTTAAATTCAGTTAAAGATTCATAAGCTTAAAAAAGTTAAATTTAGATGAATGAAAATCACGTTGAACAAACACGTTGATCAAACACTTTGAAGCTCAGCCCCTCATTGCGCTATGTTGCTGTAAGTGGTGGAGTAAAGACTAACGAGCCAGAGAAGTATTTACTTGACCGGCCCCGTTTATTGGGCCGTTGGGCTGTGATCTGTTTTAGACATTAGGTTGGCCCGTTTCATTCTAGTGTTTGGGCTGTACATAAAGAAATGCAAATTTTGAACATCCCAAAACTTAACTTAAACTGATCAATTTCTTATGTTACAAGATTGTAATCTTACACTAGAAATTATGTTATGATGATATGACCATGGGACCTAATCACCTAATGTTTGATAAGATATCCCAAGGTTCATGATTAGACTTCCACGTAGATCATTTATGTTAGAAGTTATGTGTAGAACCTTTTCATGGCATATGCTTAATTTTAAAAGTTACTAGTTTGTGGCCCGGATGATGCCCTAGGTTGTTAGTTTGTATTTCTTTAATTTGATAACTAGGTTAGGTCCGTGCCATGCACGGTACATTATATTAATTACTTGTGACAAATTAATTTATTTATGGCATAAAATATAAAAATTGTTTAATATCTTGAACAAAATTGAAGTAACATGGAATATTTGATCAAGATCATATTCTTAAAAAATATTCCACCAACAATACATCTTCTTGAAAAAAATAATATATTTCCTTATTATTCCGTAATTAATCGAGTACCAACATAAAAATGGTAAATATAAAAACAAACTTTTTTTTTTTAAATAACTTCCTTAAATAAAATTTAGTAATTAATTATTAAAAAAAATATATATATATATATACTAAGAACACACCAGAAATCGACACATGTCATTGCTGGTGTGTCTTTTAGTATATAGTTATTGATTATGTTCGACTGTTTGTATAGTTAGTGTGTGGTTCGGGCATTGTCTCGGGTGTTATTGTTATTTTTTTTTTTTTACCTCATATGTATTCATTTTCTAATCTTGTAAAAAATAAATAAAAAAATATGACCTCTAAATTTACTTAATATATTAAAGGAATATATAATATTAATTATGTGAAATTTAAGACATTAATCAAAGTTAGTTGAGATGGTAAATGTATGACCTTTGTATTTTGGAGGTTACGGGTTCGATTCTCGTTCAAAGCATAATTTATTTTGTTTAATGAAGTGGCAAGCTTACGTGGCGCATATCCCTTTGGATAGTGACGTGGCATTGTGCAAATAGTTTGAAGAGTGCCACGTGGCACCGTTCCTTTAAAAGGAACGTCTTTTAATATATAGTATAGATTTATCCTTAACATCTTAAATACACTCGACTATTGACGATCAACTCTATATAAACAACACTGTTTTACAATAAAATTCATCTTATATTGTATAAGTAGCTTTGCTAAATTGATTCTACCATTAGATCAAGAATTCTTTCTTCCCTTGATCTTAATAACCATGCCTTCAAACTTTTAGTTCGTAAAAATTTAAGAAATAATATCTAAAACATTGGTCGATTAAATTGTCCACATCACTTTTCTTGTTAGTTACATTTAATTTCATTAAAAATATTGATCTTTCCATTATACATTTATGAATTCAATTGATTAGTAATTATGCAATTGAAGCATATCTTAACAAATCACAAGTACTCACATATATAGAATTTGAGAATTATTATGAATGCCAATAAAAAAATGGGTAATATCCTCAAAGTCTACGATTCTCAAGGAGTATAAAGCAAAGTCGACCATCCACCATAAATACATGCAAGTGCATTTTATGCACCCACAAGCGTGAAAATCATTTTCAATGCTCCCAGATACATCTATCATGTACGCACTCAATTGCTCCCATACTTCCAGTTATTGCTTCATAATTCTATCATTAATCGTTATATACCATATGATGCTTCAATAAGTGGGACAATGTAAATTGAAAGACATCCAATAGGCAAATAATATGCATAATTAATCATTGATTACATAAACTCCAACTTAAATAATAAAATTGATCAACAGTTTCCTCATAATTACAAAAACATTGAGAACGTATACATAGCTGTCAATATGGAGTATCTATATAGTTTTCTGTCAATTCGGCGCATCTTTACTTGTTTTTCCAGCTTAACATATATAAAGACATAATTGTCACATGAATACATGATACAACTTTCTTATAATTAGCTTAAATTATAAACTTGTATAATTGGAGAGAGAATAATAATTATAGAAGCTTCATGATCACTACATTACACTACTAGTTTCCAAATTTATTACCTTTTTGTTAATTCTTCTCAATAGGGAAATGAAAAGAGAAAAAAAAAGATTAGAAGAAAGAGAATAATGGAGAAAGCATTAACAAAAGTTGGGAGCTTGAAAGTTGGGAGTATTTGGATCTCTAAGAAGACCAAAGAAGAATTATCTACCGTTACTTATGATCTCTCATCGGTTTGTTTTTCATCTACCATTCTTTTAATCCTCTTCTCTAGCTTTCATCATGTAAACGTATGGTTTTAATCATGTAGCTAGTTATTTCACTATTAGACGCTGTCTGTTTATCAAATAGTTGTACTTTTTCAGCTAGTTTAGTTGATAAGGTTAGTTTTTGGAGCGATATAACATTCAAGATTTATGATCTAATTTCATCTATTACTAATGTTGTTACATTCATTTGTAGCTTCCTCTCAACTAAAAAGTAAAGACCATACACATTTATTTAGATAGCATCTATCTTTATGTGCTTGATTTATGTTGTATATTGATGCTAGGGTGCAAAAGCTTATTTTGAGCACATTCCATGAACATTATTGTATCGATTTTACATGCAATTTATGATGAAACTTCTTTCAAAATATTGTAATTTTATTGAGACATCTTATGAATAATTACTCTAAATTGTACGCGTGATCATAATGCATGTGCAATAAAAAAATGCGAAATTTTCACTTTGGTGCCGTACATTAATTTCACTAATTTCATCGTGGTGCATAATTTATGTTTAATTTTTTTTTTCTAATTTAGTGCCTTCTTGGCGTTACCTCACACCTAACCTAAGGGTAAGTTTAACCAAAAGTTTTCTTCAAATGTAGTCTATTTCTAGTACAATTGAAGGCAAAGCAAAGTGGGTATTCAACAAGTTAAAGGGAAAGACGCAAAAACCCTTACCGGATCTCCTTCGAGACTTCAACCTTCCGGCGGGACTCTTTCCTCAGAACATCATATGCTACGAGTTTGATGAATCAAGATCGAAGCTCATCGTGTACATGTCCTCTCCTTGTGAGGTATGCTTTAAGGACTCGAACATCGTGAGGTACGCTAACCGTGTTAAGGGCACGTTATCGAAAGGAAAGCTTACGGGAGTTGAAGGTATGAAGACCAAAGTGTTAGTGTGGGTTAAAGTGACTAGCATCAATGTTGAAAGTTCCAAGTCTGATAAGGTTTTGTTTACTACTGCTGGTGTAAAGAAATATAGGCCTAAAGATGCTTATGAATTTCCTCGTGATGCTGTTAAAGTGGAAGAATTTTGATGCATGTACTTTGTGTATATTAGCTCTTGTTACTATGTTAGTCTTATGTATGTTATTGTGTACCAATTAAAAATATATTGTAACTTATAAATGTATGACAAAATTACATACATGTCTCATTCCTATATGTATAAAAGAGAAGAAATTAAACAATATGCAAGCTTGTACTAATTTTTCTATACAAATTTTTTTTATTGTACTAGTGTGCATAAAGGTAGGTATATATACCCAGTGACATATTAGAATATTTTGGAAGTTTTATTTGAGTCGAGGAACACTATAAGAATATTCTATGCGATTTAAACCATAATAAAATTTTATGTAATTCAATGTTATGAATAGACTTGAATTATTAGATACATATCCAAACAAAATATGAAAATAAATAAGACTAGAACCAACCTGACTTGAAGACGAAAAAGGATAAAATTAAACTTTACGCCATAATTAGCTAATTGATAACTCCTAAAAAGTGATACAATAAGACCCAACCCATCAATCCTTATCCAACTTACAAGACTTGTTACTCAAATAATCAAATGGACTCATACAAGATTAAATTACATATTTATCACCTCTATTCATACTTATAGTAGACAGCTATATAAACTCCATACGACCATACGTGATTGTGGCTTAAGTCTTATGTTGAGGCCATGTGCCTTGGACTTAGATATGTCTAACCCATGATTAAGCAAGACCACTAGCTACGTGTTGTGTAAAAGACAACCAAAACACGACTTAATCCACGTGCCACTATGTCGTGCTTCTGACAAATTTCACTTATTTTGAACTGGCTTAATTGTGTGTGTGGGTTTTTTATTTTTATTTTTATTTTCTTAATATGATGCTATGTTGTGCTTACCCATACTCGTAACTAGAGGTGATCATTGGGGGGGGCTGGGCCGGGCCAAGGCTGGAAAAATCAACCCATTCATCGGGCCAAGCTTCGGGCCGAAATTTGTGTGTCCAAATACGGGCTCTTCAAGCCATTTCGGGCCCGGCCAAAAAAATCAACTAAAATTGTATGAAATCCCATTCCTAAGCCCACCCAAAAAAAATTAAAAATCGGATCGGGCTCATTTTGATCAGGTATTCAGGTCTACTCGTAACATGTTTTGCTTTTTTCACGATAGTTCGTGCCATACCCTGGGCCAGTCCAACCATTGCCACCTTTATCCAGTAGCCCTACCAAACACTAAAATTCTGCAACAAAATCTCTGAATCAAATCAAACCAAAAATGGCAAAGAAAATCCCAAATCCCAAGAACAACAGTATCAGAGAAGTGGAAACTGTAGAATACCCAATCAAATGAGCAAAAACAATGGCGAAAAAGAAGGGAATGATAATCAAAATTTGAGGCCAAGATTCTTTGATAAGAAGGCTAAGAACATGTGCTGGGCTAAAGCTGCTCTTGTCCCCGGCCGTCACCCTGACCGTTGGAGGAAGGATGTTGCCGGCAACATCGTTTGCAAGCGTTTCTGCAATTGTTCTGGTTGTCTTTGCTTTGAGTACGATCATATTGTTCCTTTCTCCAAAGGTCATTTATCCTCTCAAAGATTCTTACTTTCTTACTGGGTTTTGTCTGATTTTTGTTGGGTATTTTTTTAATTGGTGGTCTACATAGGTATTTTTAATTAATTAATTTATTTATATGTTCTTGGACTTCTCTTGTATTTTATTGGATTTTGTGTGATTTTTGTTTGCTGAATCTTAAAGTTTTTAAATTTGAGTGACTTTTGTTGAAATTTGATTATTTCATGATTTCATTGTATTTTTATGGGTTTTTTGTGATTTTATTGGCTTTAGCCCTTTAGTGCCCCAAAAAGTAGATTTGATGTAAGTTTGAAGATAAGGGTAACTTTAGAATGGAGATGAATGGTGCAAATTGGGTATTTTATTAGTTGATTGAGATTTTGTGTGTTGTGATTAGAGAGTGAATAATGGGCAAAAAATTTTGGGATATCCTGTATGTTTCAACTTGTATCTTTTAGCAAATTGAGATTTAGTATCCTGCATTGAAAGTGATGAGTGGTGGATTTGTATGCTTGGCTCTGTATATTGGTAATGTATAGTCGAAATCTTCTCGTATATAATAGTTTTGCTAGAGTGAATTTTTAAGTAGAAGGTGATTATGTGAATGACCAAGGAGATAACGTCAGGTTTAGGAATGAGGCTGCTTGCATGGTGTTAGGTTTGAGAAGAAAAAACATAATAAGTTGAGTTGCTTTGGAAAAATTCAGATTCGCCGAAAAGAGGTCAACGAAGGGAGTTGTTTGGCCATTTAATGAGTGTAGAGAAGTGCAAGGGTAATTTTAGCTTATCTGGATCAAGTATTACTTTATTTTCTTTGAGTGTTACAATTGATTGTTGATGGTTGATAGACATATAGACTTTGCCTGACTATGAAGTTTGCAGGCACTTAGCATTATGTGTTGAAGTTATCATATTATTCTTTACTCTAAGCTAATTTTGGGAAATTGTCAGTCCTAGGTCAATTTAACACAGATTTAGCAACCAAATGGAGCACATTTTGTGGCAATTAGTAAAGTGTTGTTGCCTTGTGGGAATCAAGTTATGATTTGATATAGGAAGACTGATTGATAGTTTTGGTGGCATATCTTTGTATTTTTGGTGGCATCTATCTTAAAGATCAACATTATCCTTCACGGTATCAAAATGTTGATAAGGGGCCTGATTAATCTGTTCTATATCGCTACCTTCTCACATTTTTTTGAAGATACACCAAATTTATACACACTTAATGTTATTAGCTAGGATATGAACTGTAACTTGCTTGCTGATGGTTGTACATTTGGCAATGGAACTTTCCTTGCATTTGTCTTTATATGGCGTCCGAATTTTTTTTTTAACTCCCTCGGTTTCACAATCAGCTTAACATATGCTTTTACACGGTCTTCAAGACATGTTTTATAGTGCTGATGTGTGGTTGAGTTCCATCCGGCATTGAAATGATGAAGTCTGGTGTTGCTCTTCAAATATTCTCTGCTACTAGGTTCTAAGAAAAAAGAAGCACCTAGAGTACGTTCCATAAATAGGATCGGCTACATGAACCAACATGAGGACTTCCCAGGAGGTCACCCATCATATTACTACTCTCAATCATTGTGGCTCATGTCAAGCGATGTGTGTGGTGTCTGATACATGTTATACTTATGCACCCTTGGGGCAAGTAAGAAACGCATGTAGAGAACTTGGTGTAGATGCATGACAGATTGATGTGCAATAGCACAGGATGTGTGCTTGTGAAGCTGTCAAGAAATTATTGTTTATAAATTGTTTGAAATGGCACATTTTGTAGATTCTTTAGGCGTGTAGAGGGGTTGAGGGACGAATTGCTGGGGGGCTGGGTGGGGCAAGCTTGGAATCAAACTTGAAGGCCATAAACAGAGTTAAAATAGTAATCACATTTGTGAATTGTGATAGATCCTTTAGGCCTGTAGAGTGTCTGAGTAGTGAATTGCTAGGCCAGGCTTAAAATCAAACTTCAAGGCCTCAAACAGAGTTGAAATAGTAATCACCTTTATTGCTGTATATCCTTTAGGCTTGTAGAGTGGCTGAGTGGTGAATTGTTGGGGCAGTTTTGAAATCTAACTTTGAGGCCTCAAACAGAGTTGATATATTAATCACTTTTTTGCAGTATATCCTTTAGGCCTGCAGAGTGGCTGAGTGGTGAATTGCTGGGAAGTTTTTAAATCTAACTTCAAGGCCTTAAACAGAGTTGATATAGTAATAAACCTTTTTGCGCATAGTCAACGCCTGTTGGCCCTTTCATCGGGCAGTTAAAAACCAATCCTGATTGCTTATTGGAATTGCTCGTGGGTATTATTAGCATTTCAGCCTAAATCCCATTAGAACTCTACATCGAGAGTCTAATTTTGCAGATCTCTTCCAAGTTATATGGGTATTAGCTTAACATTTGGTAGGAGTGACGTGGCTTTCATGAAAGAATTAAACGTATAGTGCTAATTAACAATAGAAGACGGAAAACAAATAACGAACAAGACAAGGAGAATTTACTGTGGGAAACCCGAGAACCAAGAGAAAAACCCACCAATCCACTATAGATTAATACTTTGATGAAGAACAATGTAGTTTACAAGCTTTCAAATCACCATGAAAACTCTCACCCCTTCCCACACTCAAACCCTAAGTGTTAGGGCTTTTACATTTGAGGCTCTCTCTCTCTCTCTCTCTCTCTCTCTCTCTCTACATCTTTCCCTTCATCTTATTCTCTAATACAATGACTAAACATGAGTATTTATAGTATAAGGCATAATAAAGCAATCCTACGGTCCTAAATAAGCCACGTCGCTTAAGTCGTAAAACCGTAGAAAATAGAGGCAAGAGGTTCGGCCGAACTCCATTGCAGTGACCTTCAAATGCTGTCCTTTGAGTTTGGGCGAACCTAGGTTGGGGCGAACTCCTGCGCAGGGTAGATAGCTCTTCGTAAAACAGCCATAACTTCCTCGATTCTTGTCCAAATCAAGCTTATGACCGGTCGTTGGAAAGCGCTTGAGATGAGCTTTCACCTCCAACTTGAATCATCTCAATATCATTTCTAGATCTTGGGATATGATCATTTGAAGTCAGCCCTTGCCTTTCATTATTGCTTAGCACCAAGCACACAATCCATAGCTTAACTCCAAAGCTATGCATCTCTATGCCTTCTTGAACCGTTCTCCACACTTCTCAAATCCAACAATTCATACTTGGGACCTTGACTTGATTCAAATAACCTGGTTTGGAAGCTCACATCAATGTAGAAGCCCCGCAAGTTCCTCCAGATGCTCTGGAAATTGTATGACAAATTCAAGGTGTGATTTTTATCATCCATAGCCTTTTTAGTTGTGGCAGCTTTCCTTTACTAAGTAATATGAGTGTATTACATAATTTAGATATATTCATGCTCTTTTACCTTGTATCCTTAGAACTTCCCTATTATGATTGGAACAATAGGTTGGAAGTGAATTTTTGGTTGAATTAATTGAATAAACCACTTTTTCTGTTAATTTTTTTTCTCCTTTTTTGGCAATTTGTTGTTGATGTCTTTTAACCTTGGTGGCTGCTTTTGACTTAAAACCCTGCTGAGGATTATATTATGTTTCTTTGAAGTCTCTTAATTAATGATGCATCATTCCAACTTAATATAGTGATTAAAATTTCAAAAACATCCAAGATAAATGCTTTTGTCTTTGAGGGCTTGAAAGTCCATTCACGTTTGTTTTAACCTAGTATTAAAGAATTTGTTTTTATCTTATTTGGTTGTTTATCTTTTTAACCTCAATTTTGTGTGATTTTAACGTGAAATGATTAAACACACTAGCTATTATTTAGAGGAGAGCTCACTTTGACCTCATTTTTACATGGTTTAAAGAAGTTGCTTTGTTCTTGTTTCTTTGAGGTTTGATCATATTTTAGACTATAAAATTCTGTTTAATTTTGCCCAGTTATGAACTGTCTGAAGTATATGGTGATGCACTGTTGAAATGTAGTGCATGCTCTTTTGCACTCTCAAATGGATTATTTGCGCATCTGGATTTGTATGAAATCTGGAGATGTAATTGAGTATCTTTAGGCATTTTTTGGAGGGAGATGTAATAGAGTTAATAAGGGTTACATTTAACTGTCAAAACATTATCCACTTTCCTTTACTTTTTTGAAGATGAAAGCATCTTGAAACAAGGGAACATGTTAGGATATATGAGTATTTTTCAATTCCCTTCCTCTGACTCACTCAAATTACTTTAATTCCTTTGCCTCTTCTTAACATCATTTCCACTTTGATTGAAGCATCCAAATATAAAGAATTTTTCATCAGACATGATACCTGAAACCAATTGGGCACCTGAAAGGACATATAAAGAATATTTATAAAGTGTTGTCTAATTTTACCCTTAGTTTTCCTTTGCATAGTGAGCATTTGCTTTTCATATAAAGTTTGGTATGTTGGATGTGCCTTCTTATACAATGCCATAACATAGTGACAAATTTTTACATTTCAAGGGATGCTTGAACATTGGAAACTGTCATTGTAGGAGGTGAGTCTACAATGGACAATTGTCAGATCCTTCAGACTAGGGTCAACCGATACAAATCTGACAAAGAAGTGGATCCCAAAATACTGAGAGGTTATTCCTGTGATTTGAAGTTTACTGGTATGTTTCCCTGCATTGCTTTTATTATTTTTTTTGCTTCTAGATGTTAGCTTAGACATATCTTGTGTCTGCAACTTTGAGAATGGACATGAATTGAGCATTGTGTTTGGTGTGAATGCAACAAATAAGGTGGAGGGGAAAAGTCTGGCCCAAAATCCAAAGAGTGGTGGGGATACCAACCACTTCTGTAAGTGGCTGGCCACCCATAGTGGCCATTATGCATATGCGCTGCCACTTGGGAACTTGATGATCTTAAGGGAGACGTAGGAGTGATTAGTATTACCCTTATAGTCAAATCCATCCCCCATCTAATTGATAGTCATGTGGGGGGGGGGGGTGGGGTGTGTTTGTGGTTCCTTTGTAGAGATAGGGGTGCCTTACCAGTAAGGATAGGTGGGTTGACCATCACCACCATATCTAGGAACAGGGCCTCGTTAGACCAATAGGAAATTTTTTTTTTTTTTTTTTGAAGGGAGACCAATAGGAAATTTATCATGTGGAGCTATATGGCCTTGGTTCACATAACTATAAATAATTACCATCATCCTCGCTTGATATTTTCTATGTTCATATGCAATTTATCAAAGGCAGTGACAAGTTTAAAAGATTACCCCCACCACAGGCTAGCTTGGATGCTCATATCCACATCATAACCCTCTAAATGCATGAGTTGGTTCCCCAAAATTCCCTATTTCTCATTATTGTTAATCTTCACTGTTCCAAGAAGCATAGTGATAAAGAAAAACAAATAAAAAGCAGCTAATTTGTGGCAAAACTATGACAAATGAACTATAAAATGTGGACGGAACTAGTGGTGAATAAAAATAGAAGAAAAAGAAGTAAAATAGGGGTTTTAAATAAAAAGAAAAGAGAAAAATCTGGAAAGGAAGAGGCTTGAGCACCATAGAGATATACTTATACCTTGCTCATTGCCTCATTATCTAGGTATTTTTATAGCCCCTCCAGGAATTGTGTTGTATTGGATATTTAGATGAAATATTCATTTTCTTTTCTCTTGTTGGGAGACAATTAAGGTGTCTGAGTATCGTAGGTTTAAATTCTGCAAAGATGCATGAGCTATTGATTACATTATTACAATGTGGGTGAATATCATTCCTTCAAGACTTCAGGCGTGTAGGCAGTATTCTAAGGATTGTTTCTTGCTTATATAATTTCAGCTAAATTCCTCATGCTGTATGCTTTAGTAATTTTTGCCAAAAACCTTGAGTGATAAATGCATGCATAACGTTTGCAGTTGTTTGCTTAACTTCAGAGAAAATCTTTTTGCAGACAAAGAACTTGATATAGTTGAGATGGCTGTGTATGGGGACGTGATGCGGCCAGGGAACCAATGCCGTTGCCGGTCTATTGCTGAAATGCTTGGAACTTTCAAGGCTAAAGATCACATGGCGCCTTGCAAGTTGCCATATGTTGAAGAATCGTGATGTTTTATACCGTATACAAAGTATGAAGGTTGAAGATTTTTTCAATTAGATTCATATGCTCTGGAGATCGCCAATGCTGTCAAACTGTAGAACATAGGCAACTTAGCATCTTCATGACAAACCTAAACTCTTAAAACTGATTACATTTGATTATTGAATATTGAAAACAGGAGGCCAAAACACTTGAGCATACACTATTTTGGAATTGCGAATTAGTTTTTGTTATTGGATTTTGTTCTTCATTAATCTTGCAGTGGATTGCTGAATTTTGTATTACATTCGTGGAAAGGGTCCAGTCTACCAGGTACTCATGGCCTGAAGATGTTTCTGGGATAATAAAGATTTTCCACGAGTATTGACTTGCCCGGTGTCATGTTAGAATAAACCTCGTAAAACTGGCTTGACCCGAACCTGAACTTACTCTGAAATTATCTATCTATGTGAGCAAATATTAATCCGATGTAGTTCCGACCTTAAAATTGGTTGATTTTCAAGGCAAACCAATAGATAATTACCTAGGGTTTTCTTCTATACTCTTTAATTGTGTGTTATGCCAAATCTGGTCATTTAATAAACACTGGTTTCATTGAAATTGTGAATTGAAGCATTTGAGAAGTATATTAGCATAAGGTGTCCGAGAATAGGTAGGTATCTAGCTTCCAATTGTTCTATATTCTGCATAAAAGCAAAGTGGATCGAGTTCGACTCGCGTGTAACATCATAACCTTTCTAAATATATTGTGAACCATCAAAGGTTTTAACATATCTATCATTTTTAGTAAGCTAAATCTGCAAAGGTTTTTTTTTTTTTTTTTTTAATAAATCTATATCTATACTTATATATTAAAAGCGTTCTAGCATTGCACCACATCACTCCTAGCATTGCATCAATTATTCCATGTCATTATTAATGAGAAAAAAGTATCCAACAAGTTTCAAACACTAAACCCCATGGATATAAGATCACATTATTTATCATGTTAGCCAATAGTAATTTATGTCTTTTCAATACATATAAATAATTTTATCTTTAATTAAGCATAGCATGGAAAAATGAATAAAGAGTAATAAACTCAAAAATTTCAAGATAATAGTGAATTATTTTCTTTAAATCTTCTTTTTTTACTAATATTATCTTTCAAAATAGCATTTCAGTGCAACGCTCAGACCACACACTAGTTGGAGTATTATTAAGGTGCCATAATAAGCTCCGTTATCTTAGGTGCAAAAATGACAAAAAGAAGAATGTAATTGAAAATTGACGTAGACGAGAAACTCAAAGAAAGGACACAACTACAAATGCAAGGGGTCATCTTTAATTACGCTTGGTATTTCTCCGTACTAGTCCTTCTATTTCACCAATTACCCATTTTATAAGGCAAGGGACGAATTTACATCTATGTCAACCAAATTGGATTCAAATCGAGGTACATTTGTAATTGCGCCATTTCGTGGAGAATTTGTGTAATACGTAGTACTTACAATTCAAACCATGGAGTACTATCTACGCTGTGCAAGACATAAAATCAAAGCATTGAACACCTTTTTTTTTTTTTTTTATGTGTAGAGAAAAACACAAAATACAATGATGTAAACGAGATTTAATCTTATAAACCACCCCTAAACTCTTATCAACAGACTTTGACATAACAATCCTTTGCAAATCGTATAATGTATTTAAAAGCCAAAAGGCATGTGCACCACTCGTGTCAATCTTAACTTCTTAAGCACATACTTACTCCATATAAATCATCTAGGTTATCCCTCTTTGATTACAAACATATACTCCGTACAACAAAATTTATTTTTAATAAAAGAGTAATGAACAATAAAAAAATAAATTCCTAGAAAGACCAGAAGAACTTGTCACGGGATCAACGTCACATTAATAGGGGAGCAGCATTGTACTTTTAAACATCTAGAACACATGACATAGCTAAAAGATCTACTTTAATATTTAATGCATAAATAATTAAATTAATGATCCAATTGACCTAAAAATCTAGTACTAGCAAAATGTTTGAATTTTTTTTTGTAAGCATTAGATTGGAATCTACTCCACAATTGCATTATCGTCGAACTTTCCAAAGGCTTGGTGGTAGATTATCATATAATATGAGCTATCTAAGCTACTGATGTAGTGATTAGCACTATTGTTTTGTTGGTAACCAAAACCATTAAAGACAAATCTGCTTGCTAAATGACATTTTGGCATCTAATAATTATAGTACCACATATTTTCCTCTCTACATTATATAATATTACCCACTCTATAACTAAATCATTGTACTTTATACTAATATCTAATCATAGTTCATCAAAATAAATATCTAATTATAGTTCTATTCTTTTCAACAATTTCAAGTAGTATATATTTTTTGGCTAGAAATTTGATTACAGTACACTCAACCATAGGTACATGTGATATGAATTGAACCCTTGTCTATTTTGGTATTTTAAGGCCATGAAGATGGGCAATGGCTAGCTATAAGTACGTGCGTGTCATATGGGATTTTAATTTTTAAATATGGAACCTTACTATCAACAAGCTAAATTCATCGATCTCCTGAACTCACATTGTTGGTTTTGTAACTTTGTGATTTTAAGTATATCCGTATAGGTAAAAAGCATTGTATGCCAACTTGATTCTCTTGTACTACACCTTACTAATTACGAATTTACTACATTTTACACGTAATTTTTAAGGTGTACAAGAGAATTAAATCAACTAAACCATACACTATTACACTTAAGTGAAGCTGTTAGAAAATGATTGAGAGACATACTAAAGATGGACCTACCGTTTGACTTAAATCGCCTTTTTTCCTTAGTTTATGATTAATTGTCATAGTTTATGATTAATTAATAGATGTCTACATCACTAATTGAAGTATAAAGAGCTAGTTATGATAATAACATATCATGATATGGTTGGTGAATATGGTTTTGATAAGCATGTACTTATACTTTATTTTCTCATCTCCTCCAACCTCCCACATGAAAAATATACATACAATTATGTACTCGTAGTTATTTTACTATTAATATAACTTGGCTTAACTTAACATAGTATTAATTTCCTCATGACACGTAGGTTGGAAAATCTTTATATTCTTTTTTTTTTTTTTTTTTTTTTTTTTTGACAAGAGGAAAATCTTTATATTAATATCCTCTTGTCTTCAAGAAACATTTAATTATTCCCTTAATTAAAAAATATGCTATAATAATAATTTATCCATTCCACCATTAATATATGTAGTGTAGTTGGTTTTAAAGTCCAACCAATAATCTCATTGTGAATTTGTGATAGTGCTTGCTCCCTTACCTTTGAATTTTCTTCTTCTTTGTTGTCATTAAATGTGGCATGATTGCATCTTGCACCTTGCTAGGGTAAAACCACTCTCTCGAGTAGCAACTTTATATTACTAGCTAGGTTATAAAACACTAATAATCCACTATATTAAGTAGCAATAGATTTTAGTCTATCTTTTGATTTACCCACTGAAATTGATATGCTACTAGCTTATAAGCCAGAGATGGCAATTTTACCCAATAAAATAAACTACTATCTCAACTCTCAAGTAGTGGTTTTTTTCCTATAAAAATTATTTTTAAAAACGAGTTTCAAATTGATCCTACATGGATATAAACTTGAAAAATAAGTTCCATTCTCATGCAGAAATGTAAATAAGTTGCTAAATCACACATACATTGTTCATTTGAACTCCCATAGGATTAGATCATCAGATATTGGCCTAAAACATCCATGAAACCTAACGAAATGGATACAACAAACTTAACTTCTCTCTCTCTTTTTTTTTCCTTTTTTTTTTCTTTTACCTTTGGTCTCATTTGCCTTTTGTTGCATAATTTTCAATGAAAGAAATATAAGATTAAATCTTCAATTACTTAATTGTTTAAAAGTTATAAAATTTGGGGGCTTTAAAATTACATATCGAAAAAAATCTAACAAGATTCTACATAAATATATACATGTACAAGTATGTTTTTTCTTATATTTTTCAGAGATTCTTCATAGTTAAAGTTTCTCTCTTCTCAAAGTAAAAATTTAAATGAAACAAACAAAAAGAAACGAAGAGATTTGAGTGTTTACACATTAAAATAACAAGAGAAAATGGAGCTTGCTTAATCAGTAGTTGTAACTTGAAGAATTAATCAAACATGAGTTGTATACTTCAGAGCACATATATATATAGTACTGTAGTGTAGAATGAATGAATTATTACGAAGTACTAGTAGTATATTTTAAGCAAAAAATTTAATAGGGACATTATTATAAGTTGACCTGATTAATTAGGTGGTTTTGATTTTGAGTGCTCATGCATCAAGGCTAATGATCCCGGTTAGAAAATAGGAAGCAGCAATTATAGAACCCCATGTTTTTCATCATTATAAAGTGCCCTCTACTCGTGCCACAAACACACACCATGTTTTGTGACGCACCATGTCAATAGCTAAATCCAAACACTTCTATTTTTTTTAGTCCTTAATTATAAGTTGTGTTTAGTTTATAATTAGAGGAAAAGTATCTTGAGGTGAAATTCATTTTCTTCCATATAATTGTCAAATATATCTTTTGGTGTTTGGATCATTAACATATACTCCCTCCGTTATTTCATTATTGAAACGTGTAATGGATGAAAAATATAGAGAGAGATCTGACATCTGAGGGAGAAATAGAAAAATACATTTATGTGATGAGACGAGAGATAGAGATAAATAATGTGAGAACAAGAAAATATTGCAATAAAAATAAGAGGTATGAAGCTTTCATAAAGATAACGCTCGCTGCAATATTTTAAAAACGCAAGATTTACATATACGAATAGCGATAAAATTTGGTGGACACTACATAGTTTTATTAAGAATGTGACATTTAATATGAAAAGAATAATTTTATTAAGAAAATATATTTTCATTCAATTGTAACAAATTAGCAAAACTAACCTTAAAAAATAACACCTCTCTCTCTAACCCCCCATCCCTGTCATTTCACCGCCTCCATCGCCTCCTCGCAGGCGACTGGCGCGTTTCGCCTAGCCGTCGTCGGCGAGCCCAATCCTTCCGTTAATTTCCTTTTTTGCTATTTAGTTTTTCGCTTTTTTTGGTCTGTTGGTGAAGAATACAGGGGAATCGTCCTCTTCGGTGGCTTTGTTGAATTCGATATATCATCAAGTGTTTTGCGACTTGATTCAACGAATCAAGAACCAAAGGCTATTCTTAACGCCATCGTTGAAAGGAATTTCGTTAATTAATTCCCCGACGATAAAGGTGAAGTTAAGGTTAGGGTTTCCTCGCGTATCCAAGGTTAGGTTCAGTGAGGGGTTCTTATTGCGTTACCGTTGACGATTGTTCTTGGCGTTAGGTTTGGTTTCTGCCGATGAGGTTTTATCAGGTTCTCGTTGCCTTTTCTTGTGTTGTCACGCATGTTTGTGTGCTTGATTTCTTTTAGTTGTTATTGGTTTGCTTTAGTTTAATTATGTTGTTCTTGTATAAGTTGCTTGTTTTATTGATTGGGTTTTTATTTTTAAATAATTCTCTATCTCTGCTTGGTCATGAGTTAGAGTTCCATAGAGTAGTTCTAGTTTTGGAAGTTAACAAAGTGTTGTCGTGGTCTTTTGAGCCTTGTTGGTTGGTTTTAAGGGTTGTAAAATTAAGCAATCCCTTGTTATAGTTGGGTTGGTGGCCCTACTGGTAGCCTTGTCGGGGTGTGAATATGTTCCCCTGGTAGTTAAAACAGTTGTCCAAGGGGTGAAGTTATTTGCGCAGGTGGATGGTTTTCCCTGCATATGGAGTTTGCAGGAGGAGCGTGGTATTGAGGGAAGAGTTTGGTTTGCTAGCTGTTCTTGTTGCTTGGTTGTAGGATGATATGGGCATTCATGCAATTGCTATCATCCCTTTGTTAGTTTTGGCGATGACAAAGTCAGTTACCGCTGTTAATCAATATCTTGAAGGAGGCTACCCATCTTTGATGTTTGGGTTAAGCAAAGTTCCCCATTTTCTTGCATTATTCTCTGTTGGTAGAGTTGCAAAAAGAGAACCTGCATTTGGATGCACGGTTTCTCATAGTAAAGTCATTAAAGCATATGACTCTATAGGTTTTGTTCCCATACTCCAAGGATGCAGCTATGCTTTTCAACCACTAGGAGTAGAATAGTGTCAAAGGTCCGTTGTTCAGCAACATGGTGCATATTTTTGGTTCTTCCGTCTCCCAACCATTTCCATCATGATTTTCCTTCTGTATGTGTCAATGCCAATTCGGGTTATCTTCAATGTTTATGACATGCGCTCTCGGTCCATCTCAACTATTTCAGTTAATTTGGATTCTCTTGGTCCACAGTATGGATGTGGTTTGATTTTCTTGGTTGGCCAAGCCCCGCAACTATCTATTTGTTTGCTGCAAGACTTTTTCAGTATTTTGTTCTCTTCATTCTTCCTGTAATGGTAGGTAGTAAGCCATGTACGAGGGTTTGTTTAGGCGTATTGCTTAGCTCTCTTAGGTTGTATCTGTTTTTATTTATGAAGTTCTCTTTAGAGAAAAAATAATAACTTTACGTAGAGTGGTTAGAGACACAATAAGAACAGTGGACATGTCACATAATCACCCCCAGGCCCACACCTATGTGATTAGTTTTTTTTTTTTTTGATAAAAAGTGATTTGTTATATTATTTTATTTTTGTACAACTAGTAATAATATTTAATGAAGCTAAAGTTAAAATATTTATAGTATAAATCTTTCTAAAAATAGTGTACTGAAATTAATTAATCTGGATTACAGTACAAATATTCAAGGGGATAAAAAAAATTTTACAACAATGGTAACAATAACCCAACAGACCATGATATATAGAAGAGGAAAATCCAAAGTTCAGGGCAACAATCGCCTTTTTTTTCCTTTTCTTTTTCTTTTTTTTTTTTTTATTTTAGTAAAGATTAAAGAAAGCTTAAAATTTAGTAAAGGAGAATCAAGTAGAAGCAACTTCGGTTGCAAGGATGCAAGCTTGGTTGATCCATTCCCTATTGACCTTAAGGATGCTACACTCACTTGAACTCCGTGCTGGTATACTTGATCTTTGAAATTGCTGATAAAACAATGTCATGAAATAAGTCTCGTTTAATAAGGGAGGGTGCAGTGTCACTTATCAGGTAAATTATTGACTTGTGAATGTTTTTTAAAGAAGGAAATTAAAACAATGTATGCATGCAGCCATACAATGCCTTGATTGACTATATCCAAAAGTGAAAATATTATATTATTGAGTAATTTAATTTAAATCAAACATTAGATCAAGTATCGACACATGATTTTGTCATGAGTAATGCCTAAATTTAAATCAATTTCAATTCATAAATTTATTAAATATATTCCTTAGAATTGCATATACCCGTCATGCATACGTTGTATACATACCTTTAAATAAATAGGATATTAGTGCAACTAACACAAAAATGATAACTACTTCTAGACTATAACTATGTACTATACCGTCTTAGTTATCTAGTACGGTCCATGCAATATATAGTTCAAACCTACATAATCTTGGCTGCCGGTGATATATGAGTGGTTAAAAATAGTCACCAACCCATCAAAAGAATGAATATAATGAACCTTCCTTCCTATCACATAAAAGAATTAACCCTCCTAACTTCCTAGCAATATGAATGATTAATTCTTATAATTATCCTTACTATATGCTTACGTCTTCATTATAAGACCATATTAGTCAATCCTAACATTAACTATTTACCAAGTCTTCCCTTATACTGTGGCATGCAGGACACTCTTCGTACAATTGTTGTGTTCACACTTCTTAACTCAATTTCAATTATTAACACCCACAAAGTTGCCACCTAATACGGATTACGTTTTATTAATTAAGATCTTAATTAAATAATACAATTAACATTTAATGTTGATTAATGTTTTGAGGAGAACATTTGGTGTAATACCGGATCGGAGATTAACTCATTATTAGGGAATAAGTGTATGTATTTCATTTTTTTTGCCCTAAGAATAATGTGATATGAAGATTGTATAGTAAATAACGTATTGTAGGGTAGAGTACGGTGATATGTTGCGAATCTTACAATCATAAAATACTTTGATTTCAAGAATACTTAAACGAAAGTACATTAAGTGACCGTGTATATGTTTAGTGTTATTAAGATTCAAGTACAAAACATTTTTCCAAACCTAATGAATCACAATTACACAACGAACTCGTGGCTTAATTCCAATTAGGGTTGGAATTATGTACAACGCTTAATTAGGACCATCAATTGAGGATTATAAAACCCTAAACTATATATCTTGACTTTAGAAAGGAGATCTTAACAATGCACTGTAATTTGTTTGTAACCTAAACTAAAAGTCCAAAAAGTAGATATGCGCTATTACATTAAAAGCCACATGATGTATATTCAACTTCTTCTAGATGTCTCACCGTATAGTTACTTGTAGAATTTGCTCAAGGAATGTGTCAAAAAGAGTTAAATATATCTAAAAACGATTATCAATTCTAATCTTTCAATAATCATAGTGAATTATATATTATGAAGTCATGGATAAACACGACCACGTAAAATTACACTTTCTATTAGGGAAAAAAAAATCGAGTGTATGTACGTAAGAATTTGTACAAAACAATAGTAAATTAAAAAAGAAAACTCGTGATAAAACAAATAACACATAATCATCGAATCTTAGATAAAAAAAAATTTATAATAATCCAAAATGAGTATTTCAAATATTAGAAACACATAAATTGATTTACCATATACCTTTGTCAAAATGTTAGCTGATCAGTTTCCAGAAGAACAGTAAATAAAGTGGACTAAAAATAGGAGCTTCTTCCTCAAGAATGCCTTCTTCCTATTAACACCCAAACTTGCTACGTCTTTTAAGGCATGTATATATATTTAAGGAGATTTATCCTTAACTTTATTTTCTCCTTCTAATTTTATTTCTTCAACTCCACAAAAATATAATTGTACATTAGCTAAACTCGGGGTTGAAAATTCGATATCGATATAATCTAATGGAGGAGAATCTTCCTCCAGGGTTTCGGTTTCATCCAACGGACGAGGAGCTCATTACATTTTATTTATCAAAGAAAGTTTCTGATTTTAGTTTTAATTCCAAGGCTATTGCTGATGTTGATCTTAACAAGTGTGAACCTTGGGACCTTCCAGGTAAATTTTTATAACTTGGGAAATTTATATTGCCCTAATTTTGTAAGGTTTTTTTTTAAGCCAATTCTTGTACAAAGTATGTAGTATTTATTACAAATTCAAATATTATCGAGTATAGGGTGTTGATTGTCACATTAGTAGCTTAATAGCTACATTAATATTTCAATGTCGATATTAGGTCATGAATTGTTTTCCAACATAATAACAACATAAATAAGATAGTAACAAATTCACAATAAAATTTTCTAAAGTTGTAATTTCGAATAAATGAACAATATGGTTGTCTTTTAAGAGTTGGGACAATAAAACAATAATATGCACATAGTATGGGCATGAAAAGAAAAATAAATTGATGGATTATATAAATCGAATTTGGGCTTCAACCATCAATATTTTGGTTGAAATCCAAGATCGATTTATATACTCATGAGAGCCCTATCAACATTAATGAAAACATTAGAATCAACTCGTAGTTCTCAACTATTAGCTTATACAGAGTAAAATAGAGATAAATGAAAACCTGTGATGATCGGAGAGTGTTGCAATCAAGTAGGGTGATCGATCGACAGCCTGCGCATGTATGGAAGAGCAAGACAGTAGAACCGGTGGTTGTTGCACCATCCGCGGCGAATAGCCGGAAAAGGAGTTGGAAGAGAAAAGGATGGCGGAGAAAGAGCGAGCTAGCGAGTTCAACGACGGTGGTTGGGACTTGATATGATGAGTAAGTTTTGCGGGAGAAGAGAGAAGAGGAGTTGGGAATTAGAGTTCCTAGTTTTGACTTTATTATGGGTGCTGAATATGAGGCCTAGCACGTGACAAAATCCATATGATTTTCACTTACTTTTGTCCATGTATTCGATGTAAATGTGATGGCTACGTACAAGAAGCTAAGAGACGAAAGATTAAGAACAACTAATCAATGATTACTTCCATCGAATTGTGTTTCTGCCATAAATTCCAAATATATTCTCTCTTGGTTCATGTTAAAAAAAAAAAAAAAAAAAAGGGTATATGTAGTCATTTTGAGAAATTTATTTAATTCATAGGGTTACACATATCATTACAGATTTACTAAGTACTTAATAATACGGTTAAGTAGTTAAAATCAAATAACATTTAGGTTTTAATAGCTTAGGATTATATTGGGAATTATGATTATTTATTTTATACGGGGTATAGTCTGTATACTAAAGAGCCAAATATCAACCTAAATCGCAGATTCGATTCAATTCAAACTTTATCTTAACATGCCTAAATTTTTTTTTTATAGAGTTAACTTTATGTTATTTTTGTGATGTTATCTCAATGTCAAAACGTTACAATTTTGTGTTGGTTTATTGTAGCTTTAATTTTATAATATGTACATACATAAAAGTGAAACTATATGCGTGCAGGAAAAGCATCAATGGGAGAAAAAGAGTGGTATTTTTTCAGCCTAAGAGATCGAAAATACCCAACAGGTTTAAGGACAAATCGAGCAACAGAAGCAGGTTATTGGAAAACCACAGGGAAGGACAAAGAAATATATAGAGGAGGGGTGTTAATTGGGATGAAGAAGACTCTTGTATTTTACCGTGGAAGAGCACCTAAGGGAGAGAAAACTAATTGGGTTATGCATGAATATCGTCTCGACAATAAGCTTTCTTTCAAACCCTCCAAGGTACATATATATTTTCCTCCGTTCTTTTTTTATTACATCATAGGGTTCTGGAGGCAAAATTTGGTAGTGGGAAAAAGTAAGAGAGAGAAACGCAAAAATATAAAATTTTCCATGTAATATAAAGACAAAATAAAATGTAAGTGTGAAAAAGTAAGGGTATACTGGGTATTTGCAGTGTGAACATAGATTTTTTTGTCCTAAAATAGAAGTGATGCAATAGTTGTGAAACTTCCCTAAAAGGCAAGTGATGCGATATTAAAATAACGGAGGAAGTATATTCTACTCTTATCTCGTATTATGTGGTTTTAGTCTCTTATATGTGTACGAGTCATTCATATGACCCTCAGATAATGATCAAATTATAGCTAGAGATGATACCTTATTGTAATTGATATTTTAAAAAACATAGCATTATTGTGACTTAATTTTACTTATATGATGTAATATATTTGTTTTAATATTACAATTCAATAATCAAGTTTCATTTACGTGACACATTCATATCATAAGTTTCTTTGTAATACTCACTTTCATTTGCATGACAAATTCAAATCATAGTCCACATTATTATTTATTGCAATTTCTAAAGTTGAGATTGTTTACTACCTGGAATTATTTTTTGCCAATTTTCCTATTTTTCTAATACGATCAATTGTTACATGTCTCCAGGATGAATGGGTGGTATGTAGGGTTTTTCAAAAGAGTGTAGCAATAAAAAAACCACAACCCACCTCACCTTCTATGGTCTCACCAGACTCACCAGATGACACCAACACAACTACAAATGAATTTGGAGACATTGAACTACCAAATCTAAACACCCTATCAACTTCACCAAACCCTACATTTACTTACCCTTCACTACAAAATTACCCTAATTGCACCCCTAATCATCTCAATTTAAACCCGAACACGAATTTAAACTTAAATTGGGCACGAGAAATGGCCACAACACTCCCTTCACTATCGTCATGGCCTTCTACCTTGCTTACTCCTAACCTAAATAACACTGTAAATTCCTTGTTGCTTAAGGCTCTACAATTTCGAAACACGAGTAGTAGTGCTACTGACTACTCGTTCCTAGGCAACCAGCAAGGGTTGCCCCTAGGAACGACGAGTGAACTATGCTCGACTTTCCATCCTTCATCATCTGCTGAGACGGTGTTCCAGTCTTTACAACAACAGCAACAGAATCAACAAAACCAGCAGCAACTCCAGCAGGAGCAACCATTCAACTTGGACTCCATGTGGTGATGCATGCAATTATGCACAATACATGAACATATATATTATATATTTATATATATGAAACCGAAGCTAACAATTTGTGACTTGTTCATCAATCTCCAGCTTGTTGATAATTGAGTTGCATGGAAGAGAAATAATCATCTAAATTCAGATGATGATGATGTAACTTGTTAAAGTGTAATTATTGTGGGCAAAGCCCAATTATCGATCGGGATTATTATTATTGTAATTGTTTATTATTATAGGGTTTTGTTGTTAATAACCCTTAGATAGTTTATGTATAAGTAACTATAAAGTACGGAGTATATGTTTCCGTTTTCCAAAGTGGGACTAAGTTAAAAATTTATTACAACAAAATCACGTGTCTGTAGATTTAAATCAATATGTAGTTATTCAAATTTCAATTATTACCCTTTTCTTCCCTGCCAATCTCCTCCACCAACAAAAATCACATGCATATGCATGGAAAAAGGAATTTATTGTTCTAGGGTTTAAGTGATGCAAAAGTAAAGAAATTAGTTCGCCCTGCAGGCTATGTGACATCGTAACAAACTTGCTACTGATCTACTTATTAGTTATTAGTATGGGAGTTTGACACCAGAGTTGTGATCAATTACTTTTGTTTTATATAGCTCAAAATAATTAAGATCATTCTTAATAAATTAAATTTTCTTTATTTCTACTTTTTTTTGTTTTTTTTTTTCGGTTGAAAGATGAACTAGATTAAAAGATTAAACACACCATACGATCATAAGGCCTTATTAGCGTGAGTACATAATTATTCGACACCATACATCAAGGTGGATCCAAAAGTGGTGTTCTAACACCCAAACTAGAATGTTGATTAGTGGAGCTAATAAGTTTCCTGCCAAAAGAAAAGTTACTGTTAGTACATAAGTTAAGACCTGGCGCAACAGGTAAGATAATTACACAAATTTTCAAAATGCTGCTGAAGTTCCAAACATCCCTTGTAAAGTTATTGTTAGTGATTCCCCATTTCACTAAAAGCATTGTTAGTCTGGTTGATTCCTGTAACAGCCCTTTGACAGCCAGATATGATAGTGAATTCCTCCCATCCTTCCCTGACGGCCCAAGAAACAGCAGCAGCTATGGCCATGGTCTCAGCCATAAGAGGGGATGTAGCTTTTGTATGAAGAGCAATACCCTTTACCCAATTATGATGCTGGTCTCTTTAGATACAAGCAATACTAGTAGAGTAACCTTGGTCTTTAAAGGAAGCATCTACTATTATGCTTAGATTAGCTCCCAAGTTTACAGGGTGAGTAAAAGAAGATATAGCAGTGGTTGTGGGAGAAGAAGAGGGGCTAAGGAGGGAAAGCTAAGAAGCCAAGATTTTTGCAGCATGGATATGGGCAAGCACGGTGGCTGATTTTCTATTAAAGACCCACTCATTCCTTCTTAGCCAAATTCTCCAGGTGAAAAGTGAAAAGATTTGGTTCCAAGGGAGGTTCAGGGTGCTGTGAATTGATGACAAGTTAAGGTTGGCACATAGCCAATCTACAGCATCTGTACCTTGGCTTATGTCAAGTGATTGGACCAGTGCCCTGAATTCCTTGGCTCTGTTACAATCTCTAAGAACATGGGATATGGTTTCAAGTATACTAGGGCAAAAGCTGCAAGATATTGAGGTTATAATATGCCTTGAATGGAGGTGGTCTGCAGTGGGTAACTTATTCCATAAGCCTAACCAGAGGAAGAATTTTACTGAAGGGGAATCTGGAGAGTCCAAAGCTTTTTAACATAGGTGAAAATTGGTGATTGTTTCCTTGCAACCAAAGCTTCAGGTAAGTTGTTCGGAATCAAATAAATCCTCTTTACCTATGGAAGAGAAAATTTGATCCTCCCCATGGCAAAGCAAGACAATGGCTTGGATATAGGTGTTGATATCTGGGGGGAAGAATGTGTTGTAGGCTAGACTGATTGAAACTTCCATTGGAGATAATGGAATTGATAGTTTTTTCCTCTTCTCCTTCATGGAGAGGCCCATGAATAATGAGAGACCTTAGGCTTCCTATACCAACCCAATTATCAAACCACATGGAGCATTGATTTCTCTGGCCAATAGCCCATTGAGAAAAAGAAGTGAGAAGTTCCCACCCCTTGCCAATGTCTTGCTAAATGTGATATCCATTTTTAAAAAGGGTAAGGGTTTGTCTGGCATAGTACTTCTCTCTTATCAAAGTGGCTGACAGGTTAGTAGAATTTTGAACTCTCCATCCTAACTTTTCCATGAAAACTATGTTTTGGAGATGCGTGAGCCTAAACCCTAGGCCACCTCTCTCTTTTGGGAAACAGAGTTTATTCCGAGCAATTAGAGAAGTTTTCTTCTTCTCTAAGGTGGATCTTCAAAAGAAGCTACTACAGATTTGGTCAATGGAGGTAGCTATTTTCTTAGGCAACATGAGAGTCTGCATAGAGTAGGTTGGAATTGAGGCAAGGGTTGATTTGATGAGAATAGCCCTACCAGTTTTGGAGAGGTGCTTTGCTTTCCAGGAATTCAGCTTATATTTTTATTTTCTAGGTAATGTGGCTGAGCTAGGAAGAAGAAGATCTCTTATCAGTAAGAGGAAAACCTAGGTATATGTCAAGGTCAGAGCTAATACTGATATTGAGGGGGGAGCTGAAGAGGTCCTTGATGTAAGAGGAAGCATTCTTTGAGAAGTAAAGCTTGCTCTTGGTAGTATTCACGCATTGGCCTAATGCATCCCAGAAGTTGGAAAGGGTGTTTTGAACACTGGCTAGAGGTAAATTAAGGGGATGCTTCTCCAAAGAGGAGAAGGTCATCGGCAAAACGCAGGTGGGATATGGGGGTGTTGTGTTTCTTGATTCTAAAAGGTTTCCAAGAACCTTCATGGCATGCATTCTCAATAAGAAAAGACAAGTAGTTCATGCAGATGATGAAGATATAGGGGGAAAGAGGGTCTCCCTACCTAATACCCCTAGAGGCAGTGAAGTTGTCAGAGTTAACACCATTCACTTCAACATGGAAGGCAGGGTTAATGATGTAATGCATTATTATATCAATGGAATCCTTATTAAAACCAGTTCTAAGTAAGCAAAAACTGATGAAATCCCACGCTAACCTATCATAGGCCTTTTCAAGATCAATTTTTATGGTGAACCAAGCCTTTTGACCAGATATTTTCTTCATAAAGTGAAGGATCCCAGAAGCAGCTATGTAGTTGTTATCACATCCTCTCGCTATCAGGAAACTACTTTGGTTTGGAGTGATGATTGAATGGAGGTGGGGTCTTATCCTATGCACTATAATTTTGGTGATGATTTTGTAGGAGGTGTTTCATAGGCTAATAGGTCTGAACTACTTGATGGATTTAGGGTTACTGACTTTAGGAATCAAGGTAATGCTAGTGTTATTTGATCCATCATGGAGTTGCTTAGACAAAAAAAAAATTGGCAAAAGGTAAGCAAAAGGGATGGAAGCCATCAGGCCTAGGGGCCTTGAACTTTCCCATGGAGAATATAGCATTGTGAACTTCACCAATTCAGGGGGTTTGGACAACACTGAGATGGGGGGATGGGATGTTGATCAATTGGAATAATGCATCCTTGGCTGGTGAACATGGTAGAGAAGTAGGAAGAGATATGGCCAGTTAGCTGGTGTTCAGAGAGTTCCTCTCCAGCTTAGTTTTTGAAGTTTTGGATTTTATTCCTCCTCTTTCTAATTAGGACAGAATTATAGAAAAAGTTGGTTTTCCTATCACCCTCATTTAGCCAGTTTATCCTAGATTTGATTGCCCAACACTACAAGAAAAATATCTTTTCGTAGCGATTATTTTAACATTTCGTATCGATTGTAATTTCTACATAAAAAAAATCCCAACGAATGGTTATTCGATACAATATTCGTCGTTGCCATAACCTTTAGTAGTGTTTTTCGCTTTCGCTGGGGTTGTCCTTATTAATCGATACGGAAAACAACATTCAATCATGGTGATTATTGTAGCGATTATAATCGCTACAAATGTTGAACTCATTTTCTAATAAAAAAATAAAAAAAATTTAATAATAAATCCCTACATATTATCTATATAAGATTCGAACATGCAACCTCAAGCTTTAATATAAAATGTTTATCCAAGAAGCTATGACATATTTTATGTTCTCTTTGTCAAATAAAATTTTAAAATCTAGTGTAAAAAAGGTTTTTCGTATCGATTTTTGGGTTTTAGTGACGATTGTAAACGATACGCTTTTCCATATTTTTATGAATGTGCATAAAATGGTGAATAAATACTATTAATCTTTTCGTATCGATTTTATATGGGTTTACTATGTCGATTGTAAATTGATACGGATTCCACTACTATTTCACAAACATATGTGCATATTGTAGCTAATGTAAAATCGCTACAAAAAGACAATTTTCTTATAGTGCAAAAAGCATGTTCCTCCTTGTAGGCTTTGGAAAGGTCAACACACAAGTTGTGATCTAAGGTGTGAAAGAATTGGTTTGCAGGGTAGTCTCAAGGGCTTTTTGAATTCTTTCCAATCTTTTAAGAGTGTTTCTAATGACTTTTCTATAGTTTGGCACATTTTCCTTGGTCCAAAACAGGATGGAAGGGATGATGGCACTTAATTTGTCGATCAGATTTCCAGAGTGGGTATTCCAGGCAAGGTCCACAAAATTTTTTAAATCCAGGTTGGAAGTACCACATGGATTCCATCTTAAATTCCTTAGGGAATGAGTTAGGAGGCATTACAGGTTTAGTAGAGAGCAAGATGGGACAATGGTCAGAGCTTCCCTAGGTAAGTGCAAGACAGAGGATTGAGGGAAAGCTTGGATCCAATTAGAATTGATCCAAGCTCTATCTAGCCTTTGCATATACAATAGGTCTGAGTCTTCTTTTATTAGACCAAGTAAACTTATTTCCACAAAAACCAGCATCAATCAGGCCACAAGTTGACATGCATTCCAAATACTTATTAATTTTCCTAATTTTAACAGGTTACCCTCCCAACTTTTCTGATTGGGATGTAACTTCATTGAAATCACCAATGACCACCACTAGAATTTATATTATTAACGATAAATTAATAACGATAAAATATTTTTTTCTCGTGAAAAGCGATAATTTACCATGTTATAACAAGAACTGTAGTGATTGGTCGTACTTAGTTCATTAACTAGATAAGTGAAAAATAAAAGTAAATAAAAAAGGAAAAATTGATAAAAATAATCCCAACTTTTTCCCGTTCGCTAAAAAATAATCCCAACTTTTAATTATTTTTTAATAATTCGAACTTTTGGGGTCATTCACTCAAAATGCTCCTAAGTGATTGATTACCTGTTAAAGAGGTAATTTTTTGTTAAGGTTTAATTGACACGTGTCAGCACTTTATAGGTTGAAAAAAAAATATTTTAAAAAAAAACACAAAAATCCCACACCCACGCAACCCCACCGGCCACCACTACCGTTCCGGCAACCCACCTTCTTAAATCCCAGCCCAAGTTCCCCCGTCCTCACCCCTCGTCGGAATCGTTGTAATTGGGTGTCGAATCTCTGTAATTGGTGGTGAATTAGATGTTGCGGGGCTGCCGGGTTGCCGCAGCTTTGGTTGCGCCATTGCGATGGCTGGTGGTTGTTGTTGGGGTTGTGCGGCTGTTGCGATTTGAAGATGGGTTGCGGGGTTGTTGTGTTGCTGCGCCAGAAGGTGAAATGGCTGATTTTTCATTGGCTGGGCGGCGATGGTGGTTGTTTGGTGGAGATGCAGGCTGCGTTGTTGGGTGTAGGTAGGGGGTTTTGGGGTGTTTAATTTAGTGGTTCAGGGGGTAAGGAAGGGGCGTCGCCGACACCGGTGCGGGGGAGTTAGTTCTGGGCGCCGGCGGGGATGGTGGTGACGGGAGGGGCTGTGGCTGGCGATGGGGAAGGTGGTCGTGGATGGGGCTGGGTTTGTTTTTTATTTTTTTATTTTAAGTTTTTCTTTTTCTTTTTCTAAGCTTTTTTTTTAAAAAAAAATTCGACCAATTACGTGGTGACACATGTCACCTTAACCTATTATAACATGTTGGGTAATCGGTTGGGACCATTTTGAGCAAATGACCCCTAAAGTTCGGATTATTAAAAAATAATTCAAAGTTGGGATTATTTTAAGCGAACGGGCAAATGTTGAGATTATTTTTACCAAATTTTCCAATAAAAAATCTTATTGTTTGTGTCGTTATTAATAAAAAATTATTTTCAGAGAGCGGGATTAAAGCCCGGGCAATAAAATTCTCATCTTCTCTAATTTTTCCCAGCGAGAGTTAATTTGCAACAATCTCTCGTATTCTTCTTTGACCCTTCCCTCTTGTTCTTCAATTTCTAAAGCTACCTCTCACAAGTATTAGTTCCTATATTTGAAATTCTACAGCAAATGAATTATTCGCTCTATTTATAAGCAATTCTTTAAGCCCGTCTACTAATCCCAAAAACAAAAGCTATTGAATTAGGTTAAATTAGGGTTTATCAATTTGTCGAAAAGTTCTTGGTAGTATTCTAAAAACGCAATTGAAGGTTAGTGTTCTCATCCCTCTTTTTTTGTATAATACTTTAATTTAGGTTTTAGGAATCAATTTAGGGGTTTTATAGAATTGTGAATATGTTTATTTTCTTATTATTATTGTTTTTAATTTTCTGTTGCTTATGTTTTTGCCTTTTATTTTTCAATATGATACTCAAATCAATGTTGCTAGTTAAATTGATATTTTGTTGAATTAGTCAACCCCTTTTGCTTTTTGATTCTTTCAATCTTTCTAATTGAACTATTCCATTTGTGTTAATTTGGTGAATTAATTTATTTATTTTTTACTTTTTCAAAGAATTCAGGAATTTTGTTTCGTTAATCAGTCAATTCAGTTGTTTGATTTTTTTTTTTTTTTTTTGTTGGACAAATACTGAGTATTGTTTACATTATTAGGAATTTGGGGATATAAAGTAAAAAAAACTACGGCTGGATTCCTTCATTCTGATTATTGTTTACACTATAAGAAAAGTACTTTTTCGTAGTGATTATTTTAACATTTCGTATCGATTGTAATTGCTACAAAAAAAATAAAAAAAAAAAAAAAAAAAATCCCAACGAATGGGATAAAGCTGACGACAACCATAGTCCATAAATGTATCATCTTAACTTCTTGAACTTTCCTGGGTCCTTGATTTTAGCAAAATAAAATCATACTAGTTTTACTAGTACATCAATTTGATAAAAATGATCTAGTTTGGTAATATGCATGCACACTTCATGGTGCATGGCCCCCTAATTTACCTCGTAAATGTGGTAGGGAATGAAAATTTTTAACTAATGATGTTTAGAAGTTTTGTTCTTAACAAAAACCATTTCCTAGTATGAAGAAGAGAAGGTGAGGCTCTACATGTGACACAAATAACAAGTTAGTTATAAGACAATGAGACACGATTTTCCTATTTTCATGATTGCGATTCATACAAAGAAAACATAAAGACACCCTTCTATTTTTATTTCAGGGACGAACGAGGAGTTAAAGGAAAGGTGTGCTCCGACAAAAGGATTGGGTTAGAAGCCTTTGAAGCAAAAGAAGAAATTGGTGTATTTATATTTTTATCAAATTTCTGAATTTTTCAGTTAAGAAGAGAGGTCGTAGATGATACGGAGTATCTAGGCTTCGATTTGATTGGATGATAAAGCTAATTTGGTTTACTCTCGGTCTTCAAATTTGGCTCATACCCGTTTTGTTTTTTCTTTTATTTATTAGTCCTACTGTCCTATAGATAGGGTAGGTTTTAGAATGAAAGGATGTAATATTATAATGTTGTTGCTGGTTTTCAGCAGACTTGGAATTCAATTATTAATTCAAAATCTTTATTATTATGATTTTTGTCTTATTTTTATTTATCTTGAATTTCATAATTTTATTAAATATTAATTGTATTGAAAATTGTTGGTAAAAAGGTTGTTAAAAGCTTTTACCATTAACGACAAAGAATTTGGTCGCGAATAACCTAATTAAATATTTATTTATTTTTACTGTTGGATATGTATTATATGAGGGAAAATTTGGTCGTTACTGCCTAGTTGTTTATCGTTAATAAAAAATTAATTAACGATGAATCATTTAGTCATTGTTAATGATTAACGACAGGAAAATATGTCGTCGTCATCATTTAACGACGAACATCGTCGTTAAAACCAATAACGAGGGAGCCAATTATATCGAACAAACAACAAAAATATATTCGTCGTTAAAAGCTTTAAAGATGATTAATTGAGCTTTTAACGACGTTAAAAACCCTTTTCTAGTAGTGGACTAACCAAGGTAAATCCATAGACTCACTAATACTAATCAAATCACACCAAGTATATAACAACGAGATTTAAAATTAGTACTTGCATAAATGGCAGAAATGAAAAAGGAGAAATTTGATGCCTTTACCACACCGTGCACCGCATGAAGATCTCGCTCACTGATTTGAAATCAACATTAGCAGAGTTCTAGAGAAGCAAGATACCACTAGACAAACCTATGGGTTCAGCTAGGAAGTGGTTGTCAAAGGGGAGGACTTTGATAATGTGTTGTGTATGGGCTCTAGAAACTTTGGTTTCAGAGATGAACAACAGGTCTGGTTTATGTTTAGAAATGGTTTGCTCTTCGTGGGGAATAAAGGATCCACTCACAATCCCTCTTGCGTTCCATGCAACTATTAGCATGGGATCAGGTAAATTGCCACCTTGAAGGAATTCCTTTCGTTGGCTGGTTTGTGGCCCCAGGTTTAGAAACTTCCTGCAAATGGTGTTGTACGGGTAGATGTTGGAGGCTTTGAATTCTGCTTCCATCAGAAAGTCCTCTGTATCCACATCCTTGATACACTTCGCCTTGATGTGTAGTTAGTGGACCTCTCTATGAATTTGAAGAATTACCACTGCATTCGTTGCGCTTCCCATGATCACTTTCATTGGCTCGGAGGTCAATGTATAGATGCTTCGCGATTGAGGGAGGATCGGAGTGGGATTTGCTAAGAAGGCAAATTGTGGGTGAATAACCCAGAGGAGGTTCTCCCTTTGCACTAGATTCATCCACCAACGCATAAAGGCAGCTAGAACTGGGCATATTGCTCGCAAATCTTCCAGATCTGGAAGGTGAGTAGGATACATGCTTCCTTCTAGCCTTGCTGCCATCATTATCTCTTGATACGGCATATCTACCATCTGTGGGTGGAGGATAAAGTGTCGTAGCTGGTGTACTGTCATGAAATTTTGATCCATTTGGATGGTTTTTGAGGAAAAAAAACCCATGTCTCCATTCCGGGTAAGTGGAATTGGAGGTTCCACGAAGACAATCTGTTGTGGGGTAGATCTGGCCACCTCCGTCAACACTGGAAGTGGTATTTCTAGCGGCAGGGGTTGGAATGGTAGGATTTACTTGGGATTCGGTTGTTTGCACTTCAGCAGATATAGCAACTGCTGCGGTGGCATCGACACCTCTTCCGATTCCGACTCGCTCCCAAATTGGAATGGATTGTAGCCCTCAGAAAACTGGTTCGACCTGTTTGACGACACCATTTTTGTCTGAAGATTGTGGTTGCGAATTTGCGAGGGAGAAAGGGTTTTGGAGTGGTTTGGCGGTGGTGGCTGATGTATTATTAAATGGTTCTTTTGGACTTTAGGTGGGGTTTTTTTTTGTTGGAAAGAGATTGTCTTGTTCTTTTCAATTGGAAAGAGTATAATGTTACGGTCACCCTTTCATCATGATGAACAAAAAATGTAAATACCTATATATGTTCGATCACGAACAAGTTTAATTATCTCACTCAAAATAAACCAACTTTAATATTGAGAGATTAGTAAGCTAGATTAAGAGCTTGGACTTGAACTAGATGAATTTGAACATAATAGCTAGGGTACTACTTAGCTTGGCTAAGCTCATAATTAATTAATAAGCCGCAACCCTATCCTATATAGTGTCTATAATAATAAGATTATATACACACCCAAATTAAAGAGGTTATTAGTTATTGGCAAACTTTTACAGTAAAAAGAAAAAAAAAAAGAAAAAAAATATTAAAAAAATAATAAAATAAAATCGAATATATAATAAAATATTATATATCCGCTATAAAGTTATCTTAGGGTGCGTTTGGTTCGCTAGTTTCAGGAAAGGGAATGGGAATCATTCCCTTTCAACCTGTTTGTTTGCCACTTTTTCCCTCAATCATTCCCCCATTTCATTTTTCAAAATACCCCAAAACCCCTCTTCCCCATTCCCCACCCCCCCCCCCCCCACTTTCCCATTCCATTCCCCACCCACCCTAACCCTAACCCTAACCCTAACACTAACACCCATATACGTCGGTGGTGGTCGGACGGCGACTGTCGGCGAGCACCGGGGAGTGGTCGGGGAGGCTCGGCGAGCACCGGGGAGTGGTCGGCGATGTGGTGCTGTGGTGGAGGAGGGAGATCGAGCGTTGGGGAGGGGGGCTGGAGCATCGGGGAGGGAGTTCGAGGTGGTGCTGTGGTCGGTGGTGGTCAGCGACCGTCGTCGAGGGGGGCTGGAGGGTCAGCGACCGTCGGCGAGGGGGGCGCGGCTTTCGGCGAGGGAGTTCGAGCATCGGGGAGGGGGGCTGGAGCATCGGGGAGGGAGTTCGACGGTCGGCGATGGGGGCTGGATGGTCGGCGACGGTCGTCGACGGTCGGGGATGGGTCGGCGACGGTTGGCGGAGTTCTGTGAGGGTTCGGCGGCGGTCGGAGCTGCGCTGTGGTGGTGGTGCTGTGGTGGAGGGAATGATTCCCTGGTTTTTGTAACAAACAACCTTCCAAATTTTCCACTTTGCCATTCCATTCCATTTCATTCACGTTGTTCATTTCATTCCGATTCTCTTCTGTGAACCAAACAGCCCCTTAAAATAATCAAAAGTTACCCCATTATAGGAATACCTGTTGCAGTTGTTTATACCTACCAAGTATTGCTGCGGATTGTGGGATTTTATGTTCATAAAAATATATGATGAAATCTTTTTGTGCCTTTGCGCCACCATTTATTGGCCATGCAATCAGGTCAATTTGATTTTATACCAGCTTTTATTGACTAATTAGTTTGGATATAATCCACTTTAGTTGGTTCATCATTTGGCTTGACATGTGCACCAAAAAAAATCGATCAATTGGCTTGACATTTTAATTAAGATTGATTAGTCGGTTTCAGACAAAAACAATTTTATTCTAGTCAATCAAAAAATCTAACATTACAATATTTGAAGTCTTTATTCTTGTGTGATAGTTTAAGGCATATAAACTATCACCCAAGAATAAAGACTTCAAAAAATCCAACGTTTTCCAGTCACAAGTAATATTAAGTCTTAGCTTGGTTCAAGCATTGATACTCCGTAATTAAAATACTCCATATAAAGTATTTAAATTTTAATTTCTAAGTGAAAAAAAAAAAGATTAGAGAGTATACGTATCATGTCTCGCTCATTGTCTTGTATAATTAAGGAACTTTTACCGCGCTGAAGGCACCAAATGACAATGTTATTCAATTCGTAGATATTTGGATATTTGAATTCGTAGATAGGTTATAGCACGGTCTTGCTAGAAGACGATCCTGATCTAGTCCATATATCTTACTTTGAAAATAATAATAATAATAATAATAATAAAAAATAATAACTTTCAAATATCAATACAAATTGGGTATTTATTGGATTTATTTGGATAATCTCTTCACCTTATTTATGCTGTAGTGAAATTATTTTTACTGAATTGAAGTTAATCTTATTGGACATTACTGATTTTTGATGAACAAAAATTATTTTTTAAGGCGAAGATTACAACATTGTACCAATTTTTAAAATGTTTTAATTGTTTCTTATCACCCAACATTTAATAATTTTGTGGTCTGAGCACCCATAAATTTACAAATAACTCCAATCCCAAATGATTGCCCTCTTTTCTAAATTGCTTTGTCATGTTTAATTATTCTCTTCATTTATTAAATGTATACTTATTCCACCCTTTAACACTATATACAAACATACTTTTGTTCGAGTCCCTAACATTAACTACACATTTTATTATTCTTGAAAAGCCTATCATTTCATGGTTGTGAAGACATTGTTGTACTGTTAATAGTGGCTTTTGCATATTCGATAATCTTGCAAAATTAAGACAGCCATAAATAATTAGAGTACATAATGGCACTTCAGACATTTTAATTAGTTGGATATCAAACTTTTCATAAGTTGAATTGCGGAGTATAATTTAGTTAGAAAATTTCAATTCATTTTGTATAAATTGAATGTGAGTTGAGAGTATATTGATCAATTATAAGTAGACATTAAAATGGAGGGAGAAATGACTGTATTTAAAAAGCAAAGCATTAATATTAGCTGACAAAAAAAATTGCATTGAATGATGTACATAAATTTTTAAACTACTTCGTCTAGTATATATACATTTTGAATTATAAAAATTCCCTACATGTAAAAACAAAGGTTATTCATTGTTTATTTTTAATAAATAAAAAAGGTTGTATTAATGAACAAATGGTCCCATTTATCAATTCTTATAACAACCAAATATCCCAACATGTCAATGAATTTATGCCACTACTCTTTCAAATTGTATATAATTTAACACCAAACATGTAAGTGCTAGCTTAAATGTCTACTTATTAGTGAAAAGAGGGGTTTTTTTTTAAATATATAACCTTTACAAAGGCTTAATGGAACTATTATCATTTTGACCAACACCATTTATAATATGAATTATAAAATTTATATATATAAACATGAATAATAAAATTTAATTGCAGTTTTTATGGATTGTGCCAAAGTGACAAACATAGAGATGCCTACTTTACTAATCCTTTTTAATTAGCCATTGTGGCTTATTAGAGCAACCATGTTAAATTACCGCTAATAGGACCCACTAAAGGGTATCTGCATGAAGTGGGAACTGCAAAAGAACACACAAGGTGTGGAAAGAGACCAAAAGTTGTCTCAAATTGGCTTTTTTATTTATTTTAAAACTTGCAATTTATGGTTTTATTATTTTACTTTTTTTTCACTTTATTTCCTTTAATTTACTTCATGTCTATACAAAAGATAATGAGAAATTTCAAGTTTAGCTTATAAAAATATTTTTTAAATGGCAAAGTCGTAAATAAATGTAACTTTTTTCATTATTTTAGCTGTATATATTACAATTTTAACCTTTTGATTAACAAACTTTGTTTCTCAATGTGCGAAACTAGAGCAGTAGTCTTGAAGATAATATCAACTTTTTTTTTTATCATGTATTGTTGTAATCAAT